CGCAGTGAGGAAACTACTAACCAGCCGCAGCAGCAGCAGCATCAGGTGGACCTGGAGCAGGACCTCAAACAACAGGCTTGGGCCTACTTGGACAGCACCCTGCCAACCGAGGTAGACAATCCCCTTGACTACTGGGCAACGAAACTTGACCTTTGGCCCCAACTAGCTGAATTTGCCCTTGAAAGGCTGTCATGCCCGGCCAGTAGCGTGGCATCGGAGCGCGTGTTTAGTGTGGCAGGAGGTATATTAACTCCGCGGAGGACACGACTGTCCACCCAAAGTGTGGAGAGACTCACGTTTGTGAAAATGAATCAGGCGTGGATTAGTCTGGATTTCAAACCACCAGTTCCTGACACAACTGACTAAATCCGCCATGAATCATGCCCCAAATATGTGCCACTTTCAGGTCTCCTCACACTACTGGTGGGTTCCATTTTGTCATAGGGTGCTGGCAGATTGCGGGCCTCCCATTGCTGCTGCCAGGCCCGTAATCTGCCATGGGCCCCTGTACCGCCTCCTCATGCTGCTGCCAGGTCCAGAGTCTCTCATGGGTCCCTGTACGGCCTCCCATTGCTGCTGTCTCCATCGCCACACTTTGCCATGTGCCACTTTCAGGTCTCCTCACACTGCTGGTGTGTTCCATTTTGTCATAGGGTGCTGGCAGATTACGGGCCTCCCATTGCTGCTGCCAGGCCCGTAATCTGCCATGGGCCCCCGTACCGCCTCCTAATGCTGCTGCCAGGTCCAGAGTCTCTCATGGGTCCCTGTACGACTCCCATTGCTGCTGTCTCCATCGCCACACTCTGCCATGTGCCACTTTAAGGTCTCCTCACACTGCTGGTGGGTTCCATTTTTGTCATAGGGTCCTATTGTGGCTCCACCGCCGCACTGTGGCTCCACACTCTGGTTTTGGCCCCGTGACTGCCCAAATGAGTGAAGTGTGCGGCGATTCTAAGATCGACGGCTCTCATCTGCATGTCATACTGACTGACAGTATTATTTCTCTTCCCCAGCAGACTCCAAGGGCATTTAAATTAAAGGTACAGTGTTCTGCACTAATATAAAGGCTCTCTGAAGCCTAGAAACCCCTTTTATAAGTTAAAATCGCAGCGAATATATTCGCATCGAATCGAATTTATTCCTCGAATTCGCCGAATCAGCCGAATCGAATTTTTGAATACTTCGCTCATCTCTAATTAATGGCTTAGCTTTGTGCCTGAATTTTTTTTTCTTGGTATTCAAACACTGTTTGAACTCAAGATTTTAGATTTATTCTTAACCACATATCGTGGGAGGTAAACATATATGCGGCCTCACAGCAGGTGGGCTTTAACTCTGAGAGACCACATATATGTGTCCCTATGTAAAACAATTACTGTGGTGAAAGCGAACTCTTAGCAAGTTACCGGCAGGTAATGGAAAGCTCCTGATGCATACTTGCTATCAAGAGCTTTCCAATCATGTGACCGCTCTTACTCTCAATCACAGCGGTCACATGATTGGAATGCCCGCCTCTGCTTCCCGACATTTAGAACCTTGCTTGTTTTTTATGAAAGATTGATCATTTAGAGCAATTTTTTGTGGGAGGCTGGGGAAGTGTGCACATGTCCCCATACTTAGAGGTACATGATTTTATTTGAGGCTCCAATGACATATCAGGATGGTGGTCAGATGGTAATTGAAGAAGTCTTCCTATGGTGCCTGCTGTACAGTGTTTGTCTTAAATGTACAGAGTGCAGGTTTTCTTTAAAGTGTAACTAAAGGCAAAACATTTTTGCAATTTTAGATAGTTAGATAGGGTTATATCCTTGTCATTTATTTCTCCATCTGTGTCCCTCCTGTCCATAACCAAAACAGAAAGTGGGAGGAAATCCCACCAAAGTGGGATTTCCCCTCTATTAATGTTTTGATGTCAACCCAAAATTTGGTATTTTCTTTTACTTTCACTTTCGATGATAACAGTAAACCAGCCAAAAAGACCAGGTGAATCTCTCTAACTGGGGCTCAGACAGCAATAAAAACTGCCGTTCTGCCATTGGTTACACCTTAAAAAAACTTCATAGTGTGTTCTCATCATAATTTTATTACCCATATTTTTTAACTTGTTGATTGTACTGTTTTTGAAAGGACAGGAAGGAGGTTGCTAAAGCCAACTATGACTTTCTTTGAACCTTTACCATACATTTCCTTCCTTTAAGAGCACAATTCCGTCAAAAAGAAATGATCACTATGTTGGGGCCTTGCTGGGGACCTCCTCCTTGTTCAACATGCCAGGAACAGCTCCCGTGTGAAAGTGTTCTGGAGGGCATATGTTTAAAATTCAGATGCCAGACTGTTTGACAGCTAAGCCTTGGCAGGATATGTATATGAATGCAGGTCAGGCTTGGAAAATGCAAATGTTGACCACACATAACTGACGTCTAAAAGTATCAATGTCAATCTGTACCTTTATTGCCAGCAGAATATGTACAGTTTAAGAACTCCCTGGGGGACCTCCTGTCCCATTACTACTCCCCTTTGCAGAGTAGTAAAAAAGGCATACAACCTTTTAATATCATAATCATAGGTACAATCTGGAAGTGCCAGGACTGAAATCCCTGGATTCATGTGCCTGGTTTATGGACCCTCCACCCACTAACAGATGTAACCAAGATGTGGCAGGTAATAATAAGGTCAGCACCAACTGGAGAAGAGCAGGTACTTTATTGCAATATGACATCCTACAATACTGTCCCACAGGGCAGCATAAAATAGCAGTCGGTATGTGCCTCAAACAGTTTCAATATTTACATGCAACTGTTTACTATGTTACAAGTTGTACATGGTCAACACTTACAGTTCAGCAGTCTTTCAAGTCTGCAGGATATCAATAAGTTCAGGGGTTTTATATCCCAAAGTTCCACTTGAATCTTGAGTCCCTTACGTTAGGACCAATATCAGCAGCACGTCTATAATAGGGCCATGCATACAGTTGCAAGAAAAAGTTGTGAACCCCTTGGGATTACGTGGAGTTTTGCATGAATTGGGCATAAAATGTGCTCTGAACGTCATCTAAGTCACAACAATAGAAGAACACAGTCTGCTGAACATAATACTACACAAAAAATTAGATGTTGCCGTGGTTTAATTGCACATAACATGTAAACATTCACAGTGCAGGGAGGAAAAAGGATGTGAATCTTTGGACTTAATAACAGGTTGACCCTCCTTTGGCAGCAATAACCTCAACCAAACGTTTCCTGTAGTTGCAGATCAGACCTGCACAACGATCTGAGTAATTTTGGACCACTCCTCTTCACAAAACTGTTTCAGTGTAGCAATATTCTTGGGATGTCTGGTGTGAATCGCTCTCTTAAGGTCATGCCACAGCATTTCAATCGGGTTAAGGTCAGGACTCTGACTGGGCCACTCCAGAAGGCATATTCTGTGCTGTTGCAGCCATTGTTTTGTTGAATTACTTGTATGCTTTGGGTCATTGTCCTGTTGCATCACCCATCCTCTGCGGAGCTTCAGTTGGCGGACAGATGGTCGTACGTTTTCCTGCAAAATGTCTTGATAAACTCTGGAATTCATTTTCCCATCAATGACAACAATCCGTCCAGGCCCTGAGGCAGCAAAGCAGCCCCAAACCATGATGCTCCCTCCGCCATGTTTTACAGTGGGGATGAGGTTTTGATGTTGGTGTGCTGTGCCTTTTTTTTCTCCACACATAGTGTTGTGTGTTCTTCCCAAACAACTCAATCTTGGTTTCATCTGTCCACAGTATATTTTGCCAGTAGTGCTGTGGAACATCCAGGTGCTCTTTTGCAAACTTCAAACGTGCTGCAATATTCTTTTTGCACAGCAATGGCTTCCTCCGTGGTGTCCTCCCATGTACTCCATTCTTGTTTAATGTTTTCCTTATTGAAGATGTGTCAACAAAAATGTTAGCATGTGCCAGAGATTTCTGTAGGTCTTTAGCTGACACTCTGGGATTCTTCTTTACCTCATGCAGCATTCTGCGCTGTGCTCTTGCAGTCATTTTTACAGGACGACAATGCCTAGGGAGAGTAGCAACAGTGCTAAACTTTCTCCATTTGTAGACAGTCTGTCTTACCGTGGACACATGAACATCAAGGCTTTTGGAGATACTTTTGTAACCCTTTCCAGCTTCATGCAAGTCAACAATTCTTGATTGTAGGTCTTCTGAGAGCTCTTTTCTGCAAGGCATGGTTCACATCAGACAGTGCTTCTTGAAACCAGTAAACCCAAAACAGGTGTGTGTTTTTTAAGGGCAGGACAGCTGTCAGCAACACATCCAATATCATCACACTGATTGGAGTCAAGGTTGGCTCACTCCTGGCTCCAATTAGCTCTGGGAGAAGTCATTAAGCTAGGGCCTCACATACTTTTTCCTCCCTGCACTGTGAATGTTTACATGTTATGTGCAATTAAACCATATGGCAACATCTAATGTTTGTGTAGTATTATGTTCAGCAGACTGTGTTCTTCTATTGTTGTGACTTAGATGACGTTCAGAGCACATTTTATGCCTAATTCATGCAAAACTCCACGTAATCCCAAGGGGTTCACATACTTTTTCTTGCAACTGTATTTATAGCTGTGTTCCTTTATGTCCCTTTAAGGAGTTTTTATTCTTAAAGCAGAACTTCACTACATCTGAGCACCACAAACCAAAAACGCTGTTATATATAGTAAAATGACGGTTGCAAGGCGGTTCTCTCATTCTGGGAGGACGTCATATGACGCATGCGCGGCTTCGGGAGCATGCAGCGCTCAATGGATCAATGGAAAGAGCCGAAGATGTGGGCTCGGCCATGTGATCAGCTGTGTCCAATCACAGCTGATCGCATGTAAATAGGGAATTGCCGGTTATCGGCATTTCTCTCCTCACGAGCTGTCATGCTGACAGCTCAAGAGGAGAAGAGAGCTGGTAATCGGCATCCCTCAGAGGGGACATGTACACTGATCATCAATGCACTGATGATCAGTGTCCCCTGATGATCTGTGTAGCCCCAGCAGTGCCACCTGTCAGTGTCCATCAGTGCCACCTGCCAGTGCCCATCAGTGCCACATCAATGCCACATTTCAGTGCCTACCAGTGCACATCAATACCACATATCAGTGCCCATCTGAGCTGTCTTTCAGTGTCACCCATCAGTGCCAGTCAGTGTCATCTATCAATACCAGTCAGTGCCACCTATCAGTGCTTCCAATCAGGGCCACCTATCAGTACCAGTCAGTGCCGCCTATCAGTGCCAGTCAGTGCCACCTATCAGTGTGTGCATCAGTGCTGCCTATCAGTGCTGCCTAACAGGGCCAGTCAGTGCCACCTAACAGTGCCAGTCAGTGCCGCCTATCAGTGCCAATCAGTGCCACCTATCAGTGCCACCTATCTGTGCAATATATGAGTGCTGCCTTTCAGTGCCCATCAGTGATGCCTGTCAATGCCCATCAGTGCCACCTACCAGTGCATCCTCATCAGTGCCACCTGTCAGTGCAGCCTCATTAGCGCACATCAGTGAAGGAGAAAAATCACTTATTTACAAAATTTTATAACAAAAACTAAGAAAAAACTTTTTTTTTCAAAATTTTCAGTGGTTTTTGGTTTGTTTAAGTAAAAATAAAAAACCCAGAGGTGATTAAATACCACCAAAATAAAGCTCTATCTGTCACAAAACAATGATAAAAATGTCATATGGGTACAGTGTTGCATGACCGCGTAATTGTCATTCAAAGTGCAACAGCGCTGAAAGCTGGAAATTGGCCTGGGCAGGAAGGGGGTATACAGTGAGGAACAGAAGTATTACTACTTAGGTGCTACTAAGTTAGATTAATGAGTGGAGTAGAGGTGGACTTTTTAAAGGCACAGTAACAGGTCTTTGAGAGCCAGAATTCTTGCTGTTTCTTAGGTGTTCAAATACTTATGTTCAGCAGTGCAAGACAAATAAATTCTTTAAAAATCATACAATGTGATTTCCTGAATTTTTTTTTAAATTCTGTCTCTCAGAGTGGGAATGCACCTACAATGTGAATTTCAGACCCCTCCATGAAGTGGGAGAACTTGCAAAATCGCAGGGTGTTCAAATACTTCTGTTCCTCACTGTAAGTGCCCTGTAGGCTAGTGGTTAATTCATTTTTAATATTCAAAGCAAACTCACCCATCCATCCATGTCTCCATGCTTTATTTTGCTGGGACATCATGTTGAAAAACACAAGCATTTGTGTTTGTGGCCATCTTGTGTAAGGGAAGAAGATTCATGTAGCATTTATTTCCTCGAATTCATCTGCCCTTATCTCAGGCATGCAGGTGGGAGGGTGTTCTTAGCTTAAAAAGCCCTCCTCCTCTCCTGAAGAATCCTGAGATGTATGACATCATTTGCCTAGGCATGGAAACCAGGAAGTAGTGACGGGCCGAACAACCCCCTGTTTGGTTCGTGGTTGAGCATCCTAACCTAACTGCGAAATTCGAACATGAACCAAACATCTGAGTATGCGATAAGATACCACTCGCTTACTAATATTCCGCATAAGTTATATTATTAAGTCATGCGGTATTTTAGTAATGAGACATTCATTCATGTTTCAACTGTCAGTGGGGTTCCCTGCTGACAGCTGAATGTAAAAAGAATTGCCGGCATTGCCCAACAATTAAAACATTTAAAAAAAAAACAACGTAGGGTCCTCCCTACCATCTAAACCAAGCCCTTCAGGTCTAGTATGGATTTTGAGGGGAACCCCCACACCTAAATTAAAAAAAAAATGGCATGGGGGTCCCCCCCCCAAATCCATACCAGACCCTTATCCGAGCATGCAGCCTGGCAGGTCAGGAAGGAGGGGGATGAGAGAGCGCCAACCCCTCCTAAACCATACCAGGTCACATGCCCTCAACATGGAGGGGTGCTTTGGGCCTCTTCCCCACAACCATGGCCTGTGGTTGTGGGGGTCAGTGGGTGAGGGAATTATCATAATCTAGAAGCCCCCTTTAAAAAGGGGGCCTCCAGATCTCAACCCCCCTCCCTTGTGAATGAGTATGCGGTACATGGTACTGCTACTCAGTCACAAAAAAACGTGTAGTGTAAAAAAATACAAGAAACAGTCTTTGAGAAGTCCTTTATTAAAAATAGAAATTAAAAAAATATCCCCCAAAGCAGATCCTACGTCAATCACGATGCATGCCACCACCGAAAAAAACAAAACAAAAAAACCACCATCTGACAGCTGCGCCTGTGATGACAGTTCTTATATACTGTAATGATGTCATAAGAGGGCGGGGTGAGTACCATTTTCAGTTGCTGCAATGAAATTTCAGCAAAATAGACTAGCCTGCTGCATAATTTTTTCACTTTGATTTTCGGGGTGTCTTTGAATTCAGTCCTCTGTAGGTTGATAATTTTCATTTCCATCAAACGATGGGACAACCTTACGTTCCTAACACATTACCCAGACCATATCAGTATAGATATCCAGCATGATATGTTTCCCCATTGCGATCTGATGTGTATTCTAAGTGTTCCTTTAACTTATTTGAGCATGTGTGTGTGTATATATATATATATATATATATATATATATATATATATATATATATATACACACAGTGAGGAACAGAAGTATTTGAACACCCTGCGATTTTGCAAGTTCTCCCACTTAGAAATCATGGAGGGGTCTGAAATTCACATTGTAGGTGCATTCCCACTCTGAGGGACAGAATAAAAAAAAAAAACAGGGATTTTGGCCCACTCCTCCTAATATATATATATATATATTATATTATTATTTATATATAATATATATATATATATATATATATATATATATATATACATACATACATACATACACACGGCTGCTATTAGAAACCATAGGGCCCCATACAGCCAACCTGACAGGGCCCCTTCAAAAAAAAACCCCAAAACACAGTTTACTGTGCTTCAGTTATGAATGATCGGTACCGATCACTCATTGTGTTCATTCAGGAAAGGAAGGAACCGGAAAATGTGACATACTGTATTTACTAGACCCTCCCCTCAGTCTCTATCCTGAAGGACCCTTTTGCATGACAGCAGTTGCCAGTAGAAAGGAGAGAAGGGAAGCCAACAGCACTGCAGGGGTGGGGGCACATAGGGGGCCTGGGCAGCAGTGGGAATTGTATGGTGTACAGAGAGGGTGATGGGTGCGGCCATTTTTGGCTCTCTGCAGCAGATGAAAGAGAGCGGGAGGGAGAGAAGAAGCCAGCTTTGAGCTGCTGCAGAGAGCCATTTAAGGGATTGGTTCTAGTAATTGCCCCCCCGTGCCAATCACCCTCCCTGCCCACAAATCTGATTCACCCAGCTGCCTGGGCCCCCCTGCTGGCCTGGGTTTTGTACAGAGGGTACCCCCTTATCCATGGTCCTGTGTGTGTATATATATATATACACCGTGTTCCAAATTATTATGCAAATGATATTTTTCTCATTTACCTAAATAATTGATGTAAATAACAGTCAGCATAATTCTCATGTTATCAACTATTAAGAGTACAATTCACATTTTATTGAACAAACCTCCTAATGATAACAGTATTTTTGTTAAACATAAAAAACTTACAATGCACTGTTCCAAATTATTACGCACAGTAAGTTTCAAAACACTTTATAGGTTGTAAAGAACTGAAAATTGTCATTTGTTGTGTTTGCAGCATATTTACTGAAATCAAAAGCTATTTCAATCAAACTTTTAACAACATTTTAACTTTTTAAACATTTTAAACAGGTCAGGTTACATTGTAACATAGGTCCCCTTATTTGATAGCAACTTCACAAGTCTTCCATCCATTGAACTTGTGAGTTTTTGGACAGTTTCTGCTTGAATTTGTTTGCAAGATGTCAGAATAGCCTCCCAGAGCGGCTGTTTGGATGTAAACTGCCTCCCACCCTCATAGATCTTTTGCTTGAGGATGCTCCAAAGGTTCTCAATAGGATTGAGGTCAGGGGAGGATGGTGGCCACACCATGACTTTCTCTCCTTTATCCCCATAGCAGCCATTGATGCAGAGGTATTCTTTGCAGCATGAGATGGTGCATTGTCATGCATGAAGATGATTTTATTACGGAAAGCATAGTTCTTCCTTCTGTACCAGGGAAGAAAGTGGTCAGTCATAAACTCCACATACTTTGCAGAGGTCATCTTTACACCTTCGGGGACCCTAAAGGGGCCGACCAGCTCTGTTCCCATGATTCCAGCCAAAAACATGACTCCACCACCGCCTTGCTGACGTCGCAGCCTTGTTGGATCCATCCACTACTCTATCCATCTGGACCATCCAGGGTTGCACGGCACTCATCAGTGAACAGGACTGTTTGAAAATTAGTCTTCATGTATTTTTCTGCCCAATGCAGCCGTTTCTGCTTGTGAGCATTGGTTAGTGGTGGCCGAATAGAAGGTTTATGCACAGTTGCAAGACTCTGAAGGACTCTACACCTTGATGTCTGTGGGACTCCAGAGGCACCAGCAGCTTCAAATATCTGTTTGCTGCTATGTAATGGTATTTTAGCAGCTGCTCTTTTGATCCGGTGCATGGATCTGGCAGAAATCTTCCTCAATGTGCCAATCTGCATTATCCCGTCTGTGCTCTGAATCAGCCACAAATATCTTAATAGTGCGATGATCACGCTTAAGTTTTATCTAATGTTTTCATACCTTGTCCAAGGCATTGAACTATTTCACTCTTTTCGGCAGCAGAGAGATCCTTTTTCTTCTCCATATTGCTTGAAAATGGTGCTCTGCTTAATAATGTGGAACACCCTCCTTTAGTAGTTTTTCCTTAAATTGGGCTCACCGGCCAATCTAATTATCAAAGGTGTCCGAGATTGTTTTCAGTGATCAAAAGAGCCCTGACACACAATGCCATCCATGAGTTAAACTGAAAAACTAAATATTTAATCTTTGTGACACTTAAATAGAATTTGTATAATAATTTGGAACGCGGTGTATATATATTTCCTGGGCCTCCTCACGTCAGCCTACTATGGGTCAGCTCCACCCTCCTGACTCCTCCAGGACAACCCATAACTAGCCCATAAATCTAAGCTAATCCCCCACTCAGGTGTTCTTTTTTCGTCCTCGCTCTGGACACTCATTGAAGAGACAGAAGCGAAAGTGTGACTCCTGCCCAGGTTCAGCCTCTCCTGAGTGGGGGAACCCCTGTTTAGGTGCAAGGCTCCTATATGGTGGGTGCCCTGAGTGCTCGGGCAAGGAGGCTGTTAGGAGCATAAACTGCTCCAGATTGTGGCTGGCAGGTGTGGAGGTGCTTACCTTTCTCTCTCTCCTTTCTATTTCATCCATTATGGGCTGGGCTGGCTGGGGCTTGTTGTCCT